TATAACATATATATTATAATCCTAATATTGGGATCTCTGGCAGGGTTGTGAAATAGCAATTCGACCTATGTACTTTGAATTTAGCCACCAGATAGCTTATTCAAGTGCTAGAGATCCCAAAACGTATATTATAGTATACCTTCGTATATTATATATATGACGTGTATAACCTAAAAATATAATTGTAATACTTTCTATTAAATTTATTAACAATTAAATTAATTTATTAACTTTAGGATCCGATTGAAGCCAAGGAGAGTTTACAAAATCTTGCTGAGACGACTAAGAAAGAAAATGAAATAAATACTAAAGATATTAAGAATCAAAAGGAAGAGGACAATGGTTCGAAATCCGACAACGAAAATGGCGATCGTGATGAGGACGACGACGATTACGATGACGATCAATTTCCTCCCGTACATATTAAACTTCCCCTCCAACTTGACTTGGATGATATAGCTGGTGTAAGTTGACGAACCTTGAAAGAAAAAGAAACAAAAATATTATAATACTATGATGAATCAAAAATTAAAATAATTAAATAATTAATTATGTTATAAATTGCATAATAAATTGTTTATTTCTTTTTTTCTTTTTATTATAAAATTTACTTTAGAAATATTAATTCAAAAAATGTACAAACTTTTGATTCACCCTAATATAATATTTTTGTTATATTTAATTAATTTAAATAAAACAAAATGCATTTATTTTTTCCATTTTTCCAACTATTATGCCATTAATATTTTTCTAACCATTTTTTTCTTGTATTTTCTTATTGTTCAGGCTTTAATACAACAAGCAAGAAGTAGAGTTTCCTGTGTAGTAGAAAGAAGAAGAGCTGATGAAGTTATGGACGGAACTAACGACAACGGATTGGATAACAGTACCGATCCTCAACGTTTCCAAAGATTAAGCGGTGAACGTGTTGCTATACTGTGTGAATCGGGCAATCCTAATCAGGAGTAAGTACAGTTAATTATAATAAACAATACAACAACAAAAAATACTTCATTATGATAAAATAACATTATTATTTTACAGACAACAGGAGCAAGAAATGCTTACTCCGATCATAGTTCCATTAGGAACCGTACAAATTCCTTTACAATCGCAAGAACCTAATCCAAATTATCATCAGTATCAAATCCACACGCAGTATCAGGTTCCTGACATGCAACAATTGCCATTGAGTGATCCACGTGGTTTAAATCATATACCAGCTAATGTACTTCCTGCAGAATTACGTAATCTTCCACAACTTACAATGGAAATGAGACCACCACGAATGGGTCCACAAATTCCTTCAATGATGGGACCACAACCTGGTGTAACAGGACCACAGGTTAATATACGGATATTATTATTCAATCATGATTTATTTTGTAACTTATGATTTATTTTGATCTTAGATCGAAATGCGTCAAATCCCAATCGAATTACGTCACTTCCCAATGGATCCAGCAAGAAACATGAGACCACCAATGCCACAAGAACAACGTCAGGAACAACACCAGATTCCAATTATGTATCAACAACAACCCGAACAAAATCTTGAAATGTATGGTCAAGAACAACAGGGTGCTGCTATGATGCCACCACCACCACCACCACCCCCATCCCACAATGAACAACAAATTCCTGAACAAAGAGTATTGCCCCAAATGATTGTACCGCAAACGGAACAAAGAATGCCAATGCAACCGCAAGTTGTACCAGAAAGACCACATTCCCCGTTCCAGGGTATACCCATTGAGATTAGAAGGATTATTCAACAAGTACCTTTAGAAATAAAGAACATAATTCAACATATTACTGGGGAAGCTCGGCCAGTACCGATACAAGTATCTGAAGGAACAAGACGAGAGGTAAATCATATTTGTACTTATCAAAAACTTGTATAAATCATCAAATACATATTCATAAATATTCTTAATGTTTTTGTTTTAGAATGTACAAGAATTCAAACCATTCCCTGAAGGTGCACGACCAATCATACCAATGGGATCATTCCCACTACCTGTTGAAGTGAGAAACCTTTTGGAACATGGAAATATCGAAGGACGAAGACGAGAAGATGCTTCCAATGAGCAACAAGAAGCTAAACCATTCCCAGGACCCGAAGATGAGGGTGAAGAAGTTGAGAAGAACTTCCCTGTACCTGCCGAAATACGTAATATAATACACCAAGTAAGTTTTACGTCTAATTAATTATTTATAAAGATTATTTATAAATAAATAGAGAAAATGCATAAGAAAGTAATTTAAGATTTTTAAATTTGAGGTAGCGTGGCCGAGCGGTCTAAGGCGCTGGTTTAAGGCACCAGTCTCTTCGGAGGCGTGGGTTCGAATCCCACCGCTGCCAATTTTTTTTTTTTTTTTTTTAATAAATAAAATTAATAAATACATATATATATATATATAGGGAAATCAATAGTTCTGTATCCGGTTAAGGATATCTAATCTCTTCGTGTTGCCGGCCCCACTTAAGATAGATTAAAAGATATTCTTTATTTCAACAAGTTACTATTTATTATAATCAGTACATAATAACAATTCACAATCTCTCACGCTCACTCTGACCTCACAAAACGCACAAAATCCTCGAATATCCGCAATCTTACCGCAACTTGCTAATCACTCGCTAATCACTCTCTAATCATTCGTATCGTATCACTTTGTCACTTGTTCTCATCGCTTGGTTCTCACACCGCTTTCACACACATAACTGCTCTTTCTTTATAAGTTTCTGCCCCCACCCTGCATCCCTGAGGAATGAACCTTCCTCCGTATCGCTCTCGAATTTTCCAAACGTCCGACTCGGTCTAATAAACAAAGCACCGATGTCGCTTACTTACACACACAACTTGCACAACTTACAAAGAACAGACCACAGTCTTTCTTTATTTCGACCATCGTGTCCTTTTCCCTTTAGTCTTTCGTCGCCTATCTACTTATCTATGTTTACTCTTCGACACTTAAAAACTCCCCTACATATATATATACGTTTATTTAATCATTATTTTTATTAAAAAAAAAAAAAACATTTTTACAGGTTGTAGAAGGACGTGCATTCCCTGTACCAAGGTTTGCTTTACCATTGAGACCTGTCGAATCATTGGAAGTACCAGTTGAAGCTCGTGCCGAAGTTAGCGATGGTCAAATGTCCGATCGGGATTCGGAACATCAACAACAGGAACAACAACCAATGCATCCTGTTATGCAACAGCAGCAACAACAACAACAACAGCAGCAGCAACAACAGCAACAACAGCAACAACAACAACAAGAACGGGAGGAAGAGAATCGACCACATTGTCAGTAAAAAGAAATTAATTAATTTATTTTTTTTTTTTTTTAATAATAATGAATACATTAATTTGTGTTTACAGTTTTTAATAATAATATTCAATTATATTAAATAATTATTTTTTTTTTCAGATGTTCAACCACGTTCCGTACGTTCCATTCCAGAACCTTTTGCTCATCGTCGAGAAAAACGCGTACGTCGTTGCGCTTGTGATTGCGCTTGCTAATTTTGTCGAATTTTCACGAGCTTAATTCGCTTTTTATTTTTCGGGGCCTAATTTAAAGATTTTTATCTCCATCTATCCTCTCTTTCACCTTCTCTCTATCTCTCTTTCTTTCTTTCTTTCTTTCTTTCTCTTACTCTCTCCCTCTCTCTCTTTCTCTCTCTATACATATATATAAAAATATATTTGCGCGTATATATTTGTTTAACATTTAATTCAATTCTAACGCCCTGAAGTGTAGTATTCTTTTTAATTAAAAAAAAAAAGTATAAAGCTACCGGTGCGTAGTAGCTACTTTCATATTTAGAATTTCTTTAGAAGGAAATTACACAAATTTCCTTAAACTTATTAGTTGATAAAACGATACGTTTTTTAAAAAACGAATCATACAAGAATTAAAAGGCGACTTTCAAAGATAATAATAAAATAGAAGTTTCGAATAGAAATATATATATATGTTAATATATCACTCTTTATAAATGTACATGTATAAATCAGGATCGCATTAACGATCATGCGTAATAAAAAAAAAAAAATATATATATATATATAAATAATCGACATATTGACGACTCGTTAACAAAAAAAAAAAATAAATTTGCGAAAGATGATCTTCAAATTTCCACGCTCATTACATTAATTGTATATTCATAGATATATACACATATATTTTTTTGTCATTATTAAAAAATCAGCTCAAATTGAAGAATATGAAATGAATGCAATTATTATTATATATCGTTATTATTATTTGTATCATCGAATATTCCTATACCAATAATTAATTTAATATTGATTTATTAACGGTGGTTCCTAATCAATGTGCTTTCGACAAATTTTAACTAATATTAACAACAAATTATTTTAATTACTTCTCTTTTTTTGTAACCAATTTACCTTTTTCAATCAAAAAGATTAAATAAAATATCGATAATTTTTCTATACAATTCGATTCATTGTTTTATATCATATGTTATTTCAAAATATATCCTTACACCAGAATTCTGTATTAAAAGAAAAGTTTTTTTATAATATAAGAATGAAATTATTTATTTAAATTACGCGCCATTTAAAAAAAACTTATAAAGAACATAACATATGATGGTAAGTTACCGACTGAACACGGTTGAAGTGTCGATAACAAAAATTGATGAAATTACATTTACCGATCGAGTGAATTTAAAAAAAGAAATAGAAAAAGCAAAGAATATACAAGAATAGTTTCGTATTTTTAGAAAAATAGTAACTGTACGTATTTGTCATTTATTTATATCTTTTTTAAATAAGATTATTAATAATCTTTATAGTTTTATTAAATGTGATATCTTTAACAATCAGTTAAACGTCAAATCTTCTTACGAGTAATTACACATTTAGATTTATTAAATAATAATAATAAAATAAGTATTTAATATTTCATTTATACATTATATTGTGTGTGTGTCAAAATTTCTATATCATATTTTTAACCACTTAGATTTATTTGTACACGTAAACGGAGTATTATAAAATGTAGTGCAGCTGGTATTAACAAAATCTGAATTCAACAGACAGATCAACATTATTTATAAATATATATATCATATTTATATTACTTATAATATTAATAATATTAGTAAATGATAACACGAAAAGGTAAGCACATATTGAAATCAATGATTATCTATATTACACTTTTATGTGATAAATAGAAAGTAAAATCAATGACATTTAGGTTATGTTTTATTTTAGCACAATTAATAATAAACTGTAAATAATACTTTGCTAAGAACAAATCGTGAGATTAGGAATATAATATAATAATTTATCTGTGGATTTGTCCTTTTACATAATTTCATTCATAATTCATTATTGAATTTCATTGAAATTCATTCAGAATATATTTTTCAAATGCAGAATGAGACTATAAATTATGAACACATTGTACCAAAATGTCGTCCTCCTATAAGAAATGTTAAAGAATGTACAAATAAAGTTGAAAATAACGATAAAAATAATAATCATAATATAAAGAAGATACTTGTTACTTCAGAAACATTTGTATATGAACAAATAACTAAAATGAGTGATTCAAGTAATATTACCAATAATAAGAGCATTGAAGATACTCAAAATATTACAAATAACGATATTTCTGAGGAAGAGACAGATTCAAAAGAAGATTTTGATGTAACAGATAACTCATTGCTTAATCGTTCTAGTTTTAATAATATTGAGCAAATATCTACATCATCACCTAATCCTAAAGAAAAAAAGCGAAGTTATACAGAAGATAATAAAAATAATGGAGGGTCATCATCATTTTTATATATATTTATATTTTCTATGATTATATGTATAATAGCAATTTCATATTATAAATATTCACCAAATCATAATGATCAATTGACACCAATTAAGAAACAAAATTCAAACAAAGATATAATACAAGAATTTCGTAAATCGGTGGACAGTGTCAAATCAAAATTTCACAATCAAACTTCTAAAATGTGGATTGAATTTCAATCTCAGGTAGAAGAAGTTGTTGATGAAAAGAGCAAAACTTCCATTGTCCTTTTACTTGGTAATGAAACCAACACGATCAAATGTTTTGCACATTTGTTTGGAAGCTTAAGTAGCAAAGTATTAGGCAGTAATAATTATTTATTGTTAAATGCGAGAAACATTGGTAATGATCATGGAGAAATTCTTACTAAATGGAAACCAGAGATTGTGAAAAATAAAGTTGTGGTAAGTTGACAAATATTTTGATATATAAATGTCGTATAATATATTTACATTGAAAATGAATAAACGTTTATATATACATTTGTTTAGATTATTGAAGATTTGCTAAGTTTGGAAACTGAGTCTATTAAATCATTGCATAATTTATGTGATACAAATAATCCTTTGGTTTCAAAGTCTTTTTATATAATTACTATTATATCCAATGGTTACGAAGGATTACACACAAATAAATTTGTAGAAGGTAGACTCACTGACAAATATTCTAAGACAATTGATTTGGATATTTTAGATCCTTTAATAACACGAATCACGGATGGTCCAATAATATCTATTTTTCCTGAATCAAACATGAAAGAAAAACATAACATTAAAGAATGTTCGTTTCTTTAATTTATATTATCTATAATGTTTGATTTATTTTCTTAAGATTTTTGTTTAATATGACCCTAGTAGCACAAAATATTGAAAAATATTGAATACATGTCTATTTAATATTAAAAAGACATTGGAATTTTTTTTTTTTTTTTAATATTAAATACCCATGTATTCAATATTTTTTTTTAATATTTTGTATTACTAGGGAATATATTAGAGTGAAGAAAAAAAGAAAACTAATGTTACTGAAAGATATTTTGTTATTATGCAAATTTATTTTGTTATGCGAAATAATGATACAAGAACGATATTTGTAAAATGAACTATGTTTAAGCATAATTCAAGATAATTTCTACAAACTTATAAAAAAATATAACAGCGAGATAGATGCCTCTGATATACATGTAACGCTACAGATTTTGCCTACAACGGCCAAGAGATTAAACTAGAGTTTTTTTTTTTAAAGGTATAGTAAAATGTATTATTACTTCATGCACTTGTGACACTTCTTCTCACATTTTCATTATTACCATTACTATAGCGTAATTTAGTCGGCAGTCGTCAGCGTTGATTAACAGTGTCAGTCAGAAATCGTACGTTTATGAGAGAGTGATGAGTTGTTATCTCATTGCCAATTTATAAACATTTATTTAACCAATTATTATTTGTATTTGATGAAACAAATAAGAATTTTCTACAAATATTATCTTTTATTTAATTTTGTTCTAAACAAAAATTCGAGCTAATATATATATATACTAAATATATATATTTAACTTATATTAATATACATATTAACATATATTAAATATATATATTTATATTTAAATTTATTAAAAAAAAATATATATATATAAAAGATGTTTTATTAATTATAAATTCATTAAATATAATTAATTATATAAAAATATTTAATTTATAAATAACAACATTTCTATGTATGTTTCATTCATTTTATAATCTTCGTATAGAGAATTTTGTATGAAAATTAAATCACCCTATTTGTTTTTCATTTTTTGTTATAATCTTTTAGTTTTATTCTTTCGTTTGTTTTTTTTTTATTTTTTTTTTTGAAGCATTTATTATAAAGTATTTATTTGTATTTCTATTATTGAGTGATAATACATGCAATAAAACGTTAGTAAAAACAAAAAATAAAGAACAGAAGATTAATTTCTTCTTAATATGCTCTTATACACTACATATATAAGTATAAAATATTTTATAAATTGGCAACAAGTATACTCTCGTAGCTTTGTACACTTTGTCATTGAAATAATCAATCGACAAAGTTTGAAGCTAATTGAGTTTCAATATGATACAGTCGTTCTCTGTCATAATTCATCATATCGGTAACTAAAAATTAGGGAATTATACATAGAGATTGTATATAATATAGTATGGTATCATCAAACCTAAATAATAAATACAATTTATACAGTCATAGACAGACCCCTTTTTTATACATAATGTCCAAAATCTAAATGTGTGCTATACAATAGTAATATTATAATCAATTTATAATTCTTATACAATAGAATTTAACTTGTTTGCTTGTTAATTGTTACAGACAATCCTTCCAAAAATTTTCTAAATATTTAAAAATTAATAATATTTTTTACACATTATATTAATCACAATAATAGTAATCAAAAATATATCTTCTTCTTTTTTTTCTTCTTCTTCATATTAAATCAACTTTTTAAACAACAACCACCATCATCATCATCATCTTCGATCAATCGAAAAATTTACAAATGTTATACTATTGTATAACACGAAAGATGTATATTAAATATTTAAAATGAAAAAGCCAAGAAAAATGAAAAATAATTTATAATTAATATTCTAAGCAAAGTTTGTATACATAATACCATTAGTTTCTATATATATATACCATCTTTTTCTCTTTTTATCTTCTTCTTCTTCATCATCATCATCATCATCATTATCTTCGTCATTTAAATATTAAAATTTTCATGCTATTGCTTGCAGATATTTTTGTTTAGAAAATTAAAGTGTGTTTTTTTTTTGTTTACAATTGTCTGATCATTGTAATTACGGTTTTCATCTATCAGGGCACTCTGTATAGAATAGCCTTAATATTACGAGATACGTATTTACAGTAAAAAAGTTTAATTGGTCATATTTTTATTAATCTATCATAGTTAAGAGACGATGAGTAGTAGTACCACATTGTGTAATGTTGTCCGAATTGGCTGTAATAGTTAGTAGAAGTAGTAATAGTCGTTTACTTCAGTAATACAGTAAATCTTGCAAGTTGTGCAAGTCGTCATTATTGTTGCTGTGTTGCTGTGTCGTAATTCTCAGTCAGTCATGTCGTAATGTGTACGTATAATATCTGGCTTTGAATATAATCGATCTCTCTCTCTCTCTCTCTCTCTCTTTGTTTTTTTTTTCTTCTGTTTGCCAACAGTTTTAGCACTTAAATCATACTTACTTTTTAAGCACTAATACAATGGTTTCTGTTGTTTTTTTTTCTTTTTTTTTTTTTTTATATCTCTGTTAAACTGAACGCTTTACGCTGCAAAAGTATATACGAATAAATTTACTGATCAATCAGTAATATATATATATATATGTATATATATATATATATATGAACAAACAAAAGCTTGATAAAAGCTTTGACAATTACAATTTAATAAAGATTTATTTTGTTCAGAATAAGAGCCAAAAAAAGCAAAAGATATAAGAACATTAATCCCTTCTGCTATTATCACAAGTCCAACTCTGATACAAATTGTGAGACAAATATACAAATAAAAATCGAAATAATAGTTTCGATTTGTTTTGCGAGATATTATTATTATTTGCTCACAAGCTGCACTATTTATCACATAGCGGAAGAGGTTAATGCAAAATTATATGACTTTGTAAAATTAAAACACCTTTGCAAGATAAGAAAATGTATCCCTTGCACCTTCATTTTGTTAAGAGACAAAAATCTAATAATTTTCTTTTAAAAGGGGGTATGTGTGTACTATTGATATTTTTCCTTTTCTTTTTTTTTCTTTTTTTTTTTTTCAATGACTGATATACCAACTCAAAAGCATTTGTAATAATAATAATACAATGTATGAGAAAACTTGTACAGCTAGTTTTGTTGTTTTTTTTTTTTTTTTCAGTATGAGAAAACTCGTATAGCTAGTTGTTATTTTTCGGTTTTTAGAGATATTACATTTCTCATGAGATTAAGGATCGTAAAAGATAGCGCATGGAACAGTCGTATTCAGAAGCACGTTATTCCAGGTTTCAATCAATATTTTTTTAATCAATTAAAATTCAAAGCCTTCAACTGGAAGTTGAGAAGAGTCGGGTGCTGTGAACTGAAATTGTTGTCCTTGCGAATCAATAGATGGAACAATTCTTGTATCTTCTTCCTCAGATCCGAAATATCGATCGATAATATCAAAAGCTTTTTGATAAATGTCCGTATTTCTATGAGATTGAAGAAATTCAATTTTGTCTAGGCCTACAAAAAAAAAACAAGAAAATAACATTATAAGTAAATATATAATTAACGTTTAAATATATTAATTAATTAATTTGTTGTATTAATTATACATTACCATAACATTCTTCGATCAAAACTGCATAAGGATTTATACCATTGTGCATAGCAGCATCTTGTTCACCAAGACGTAAAATATTTTCTAAACCATTTAATGCAACCTGAAGGATCTTTGTATCCATGACTGTTAATAAATCGCACAATGGTGAAATACATCCTTGTGATGCAAGATAACGAATTTGTTCTGGTGTACCACCACTGGTAGCATTTGTGATTGCCCAAGCTGCTTCTTTTCGAGTTTTAAATTCAGCTTTTTCTAATATGTCAATTAGTACAGGGCAAATATTAGCATCAATAACAGCCTGCAAACAATAGTATTAGTTTTATTCTTCATAATTGATGATTCTTAATTCAAAATATAAAATATTTTATTATCATTATTCACCTGTATTTGTTGAGGGTTACCAGCAGTGATATTAGAAACCGTCCAACAAGCTTCCTTACGTACAGCTTCTCGTGATGAATTCAAAAGATGTAATAAACAAGGTAGCGCAGAACAATTTAGTACAACTTGAGTTTGTACATCATCACCAGTAACTATGTTACCAACAGCACGAAGAGCTGCGCTCACTACATTATTTTCTTCACGCCTAAATAAATAAAACATAAATAGATTATTTTATAATCATGTATATTGAACATGAATAATTAATTTCTAGATACCATGTACTTCTAACTAAAATCACATTTTAATATCTAATGTAATATTATAATTCGTTTATTATTTTATATATATATATATATATATATATATATATATATTAATGGTAGCATATTAAACAAAATACTTACATCAAAAGTTCTACAAGACGCCTACAAACACCGGCATCTATAACTGCTTGTATTTTATCATTTGGGCCATCGCTTAAATACGACAAAGCCCAACAAGTATCAGCAAGAACGTCTGAATCTGAATGATTAAGAAGTTGTCCTAAAACTGGTAAAGACGGTGATACTTTATGAAAGTGAGGTGCAGGATTTTTGCCACGACAGAGATTTGACAATGCCCATACAGCATTCCGTGTCATTGATAGATGCGTGGTTTTAGAAAGAAGTCTAAAAATATAACAAAATTAAATGAAATCAAATATAATGCAAGATATCATATCTACAATTATTAAGAAACATGTAAGAAATAATGAAATTTAATAAAAACATACTGTAGAAGAGGTGGAAGGACACCAGAATCTATAACATTATCTCTACATTCAGGACTATCTCCTGCAATATTGCCCAAAGCCCAAACTGCTTGTTCTCGTACATCTTCGTATTCGGAACTGAGTAACGATATAAAAGTAGGTACAGCTCCTGTTTCTATTACCATACGTGTTTGTTGAGATGTTCCACTCGCAATATTTGTCAAAGCCCAAGCAGCTTCAAACTATTGAATAACATATAACATTTATTAGTTTTGAAATATTTATAAAATACTTCTTGTGATAAATATGGTAATGGATTCATAACACAGATGATGATACGATGATCACGTTACCTACAAAAAGTATATAATTGTTGGACCTTTCCATTATTCACACTAAAAGTGATAGAAATATTTTCTTCATTAATGTATAGATTAATAATATTAATGTACAAACCTGAAGTGTACAATTACTATCATTTTTCAAAAATTCAACAAATCGAGGTACTATTCCTGTATGTATAACTTCATCTATAGGAGGATTTGGTTCTCTCGATAATAACTTTCGGAATTTTTGAGTAGCTGCTAATTGATCTTCTACATTAGGACTGTATAACGCTTGTACCAATTTTTTTGTTATAACAACACTTTGCTGTAACATGAAAATAATATCACATTATAAATAACAAATGAAATTTCATTAATATAGAAATATTATAATTATAATAATTGGACATAAAAAAAAAATATAGATTTTACTAATTGTGGCGTAGGTAGAGAATATTCGTCTGTAGTTGAAACATTATCCTCGTCGGAAACAATATTAGGTACATTACGTCTTTTTGATAATTGTTGTTCACGTTTTTGTTTTCTTAATTGTACACCTTCTTCTTCTCTACGTCGTCTTAATTCCTGTGAGTCTAAACCCACATTTTTATAACGATACTTATGTGTCGGCCCACTTGACATCTATATTAACATAAAGTTTCACATTATTTTACATGAAATATATTCTTTTGTTTAATAACATTACATATCAAGAATAGATATCATGATTTATACAATAAACATATATTACATGAAATATATTGTATGACATGTTGTATCATATTCAATATTTCAAAGTTAAGAAAATGAAAATAATTAATTTCTATTAAATTACTTTTGGCATATCAAATATTATCAAAATATTTCTAACAACATAATATACATGTTATATCGAAGTGTAATACGTTTTTGTTAACGTGCACACTAAATGTGCGTGCGCATAAATGCATATACTCGAATACAAAGCATTTTCGTTATACCTTGACAACAAGACATTACAAATAATACAAATGGACAAATAGTTTTGACTTTGTTACCTCGTAAGTTTTATCAATGATTTGGAAATAAATAGAATTATTGATAAAAAATGATATAAAATGGATAAAATTAACGTAATTATTTTCTTCGTAACGCGGTACTCTTGTACACACAGCTACTTGGTTACGTACGCGTTTCCGTGTGCAAGGTATTCGCATGCAACTCCCCCCACCCCCTTTTTTAAAAGCTAATACAAACGTATTCGCAAGCGCACCATATATATATATATACATAGCAATTGTACGTGTGGGGTATTCATGCGCGCGCATGTACGCGCATTTCACCAGTAACATTAACATAAAAGTAATTTTACCGACTAATCGTTTCAAAATGAATTCAATAAATATTTCTTGACAAATACTAAACTAATTCGAATCAAATATTAATACATTAACGTATCGATAAATATATTGACATAATTACGATTGAAAAAAAAATATATATGTATATATGTACATATATATATATATATATATATTATTCTTAGTATTCTCGTTTAAGGGTTAGGTTTTTAATCCACAGGAAATAATGTTGCTTCTATTTACGAGAATAATCGACTATATCAAACGAAAATAGAATCGAGATCCGTGTATTACACGGATATATATTTTAACGATGACGATGACATATTTTTCATGATGATACTTCTTTCTTTATCTTTATTTCTATTTCTCTTAATCTTTATTTTCTTTCTTCAGGGTTTTTTTTTTTTTGCAAGCATTAGACATTTTCGCACACGGTAGATGGACTGACATTGGCCTGGAATCGTCTCGATTCATCGATACGTCATTATTATCATTTCAGATGATTACGCATTAGTTTAACCGAATTAATATTGATCAAATGTAATACTTACGTTTGTAAAATATTTTTCAAGACTTCTGTTATATGTAAAATATCATAAGAATATATGTGTATCTTCTACCAGCCACTGCCACACTTTTTTTCTCTCCTTAGCAAACTTTAGCAAGCAATCGGTGTACCTTCTTCTAGTCTTCACGCGCAAGGAATCACGGGGTTAACTAACGACTTTCTGATTGGTTCCTTTATATTACTATAAATATTTTTTTACCATTCTTCTAGTTTTTTATTATACTTCAATTTATTCGAAATTATTATTTATACAAGAGTATAGATTTTATTTTCTGTTTTGTCCATCAATATTAAAACTTTATTATAATAATCTTTTTAAAATTAATGACACTTCAATCGAAATAATAAATTACCATTTGCATCTTTAAGGGAGTAGTTTTTTTTATTATTATTAGGTATCATCATTCTTACCTGATATTACTAGAAATAGTTACCAAAGTTTGTGGCACGCTATTGGAGAGAAAATGGAGTTGTATTGTTCTGAGATTTATTTATTTTTATTATTTCTATTTTGTGCAAAAGTTTTTTTTTAAATATTTATTTCTTTGATATAATTATTAATAATAATAAAATAAAATTTAATATAATGCATACATTTTGTATTCGTAAATTTGTCTATTCATACATCATAAAAAATAAATAGAAATTCTTTTTGGAATAACCAATGAGAAGATTGGAACAACTAGTAACAATTTAGGTCATCAAGTTTTATACACTGTTTTATTGGAGTTTTTTTAAGTGAAGTATTATAATATCTCTCTTCAAATATTATATTTTACAGTAAACATATTTGACAATGTAGTGCATAATCTTTTAGAATAAATACAATTAATGAATATAAAATATATTGCAATTTCATAATAAAAATATAAAAAGTATTATAAGACAAAGAGATTTATATTAGTTAGCATGTTCTGTCTTATTCTAGTAACATATTATTAGCCAATCCACGTTAACGGGTCAATACCGTAGCACGTAGAATAAGAACCCGTGTTTTATGTAGCATGACAGTAATGTTAATAATAAGTTGATTTTTTTTATTAACAATTATTCATTTTTGAATATCATTACAAATAAAAAACGAATTGTATCAAATAACCTAGATTAAAAATTTTAATTTAATTTGATAATTTCACATATTTTTTACCAAGGGTTCTTAAAATCTTATATACGCGATTGAGTAAGAGACAAAGATAGAATATGATAATGTAACGTTTACCTCTTTGTCTTCTAAAGTTTTATGTTTTTAATAATAGTGAATCATACAATGTATATAACAATGATCAAGATAATAATATAATCAATCATGAAACTGTATAATTAGTTGTAAAAATTAACAAATTATCATTATAAACATGTTGTATACTTTAACACGTTGAGCGCCACGTCAGTCATTTATGACTGACACTAGACTTTCAATTTAGGCCGTGTCAGTCACTCGTGACTGACACATTCAATTATTTTTTTAATACAAAGTAACGCCTGTGGCCTGACGGGAATTCCCCTAAGAATTCACGTGGCGCTCAACTTGTTAGCTCATCATCATGAGATTGAAAAATCGTTATTTTTACTTTTCCTATTTATACATTAAATGAAAAGTAAATTATATAAATTTATAATACAAATGGTTCATTTTTTCAAATAGTCAAATAATACAGTAATAAATTATTATCCTAATATAAATATAAAAAAAAAACAATACAAAAAAAGGATACTATTATTAGATACATAACTATGAATTTTTATAAGTAGCAATGAATTTAAGAAACAAAAATAATCATTCACACAATATTATCAAATAATAATTAATTTAAATAATAACAATTTATCTATAATAATGAAATCAACCCCCATGAACTATTTGGTAATATTACAATGAAATATATGATTTTCGTTAAAAAAAAAAATAATAAAAGGCCCCTATATAATAACAATAACAATAATAATAATAATAATAATAATAATCAACTATTTTGATGATATTTAAATGTACAGGACATTTAAACACTTTGGACATTTAAAAACGTGAACATTTATAGAAACGTAATAAGCCTTGCATTATTCTTCTATAGGTAGTACGGTCGACTATTCTTTTGTAGGATAAGCCGATAGGTTGAATTGATAAAGATTAGAGGTAAAAAGGGAGGTAACACAGGGTCCAAGGGTGTTTGGAGTTAGGCGACAGAAGTCACCCAGCGAAACGAACCAGGAGTAGATGGGCAAGGGGATGATGTCACATAGGGGTCTCTCCCCCGTCTAAATACATACAGATGCAGGCCGGATTGATGCATTGACTGAGAGTACAGTGACGTAGAAACGAACAATGTAATATCAAAAGTAGACAGACAAAACAACAACAAAAAAAAAGAAAAAAAAGGAAATCAAAAAAAAAATTCGCCATTTTTTTATTCTTTTCACGAGGTAACAATTGAATTTAAAATAATAATAATATTTAATTAATTTTATATTTAGTAGGATTTATTATGTTATTTAATGTTCTATTGTTAGATAATTTCAGATAATATTTGTTATAATAATTCAGTATCTTTAAATATTAATATATTAAATAAATATAATATTATAATTTGTGATATTTATGTTATAGATATGTGTATCTCACGTTACTAATTGGTATATGTTATATAAATAATTTTAGCTGTATATATTATCTTTAAAATTGATATTATACAAAATTTATTCGATCTATATAAACAAAGGTAATTAATTACAAACATAATTTGACTTTTATTTTTGTTTTTGTAGAATTAGCAAAGTAATACATATTAAAGATTTGAAATATTATAAATTACTTTATATAAATACTATATAAATTAATTTATAATAAATATATATAAAATACTATAAATCAATTATAATATAATATTATATAATATATATATAATACTATAAATATTACTATAAATTAATTTATAGTACATTTATAGAAATTAATAGAAATTATTTTAAGAAATAATTTATAGAAATACTATAAATTAATTATAATATAATATTATATAGAGAGAGTATATATAATACTATAAATATTACTATAAATATTATTATAAATTAATTTATAGAAATACTATAAATTAAATTATAGTAAATATATATATATATATACATAAAATATATTTCTATATATAAATTACGTTAGTATTTCTTTTATTTTATTTTTTGTAATCTTATTTTATATTTAATTTTTATATAAAAAAAATGTATTATAGGTTTTGTAAAATTTTTGAAAAAGACCACCATAGAGGGAGCAGAAGGTAAAATGAAATTTATATATAATAAATAATAATAAATATATAATGAAATAAATAATAAAAATAATAATTGTAATTTTAGTTGATATTTTGGCGTATCTCGCGAAGATTTAGCCTACGCTATTGAGAGAAGCTTCGTTTGGATGACTCATGCGATCTCACTTGCAGACTCCCCTGCTACTCCCTTATCGTAGTCATACACAATAGAGAATGGTAAACATAGTAAAGGTAACTTGCATGGACCAACTACGTGTAGAACGACGACGACGACGACGACGACTACGACGACTACGAAGAGGAGGACGACGGTGTTCACGGCGATATGCACGATGTGCCAATCGTTCCCCCTTTCTAGTTTGCTTCGACTCTCATTCTATCTTTATTTCTCTTTAGTTTTGGTCCAAGCAAGCCACGTGGCAGCATCCCCTTCTTTCCCCTTCACCCCTTCTCATTCTATCATTCTCTCATTCTCTTTCTTTCTTTCTTTCTTTTTCACCTCACTTACTCTCTCTCTCTCTCTCTTTTTCTCTCTCGTCTCAACAATTGATTACCCAACGAGCAACTAGAGCCAAATTGTGATCGTTCTCGAAAAGTAAAAGAGTTCATTGCTTTAAAGTTGATATTTTATATCATATATATATATATACATATATATTTTATTTATTCTAAGCGATTAATGATCTCAAGATTATATATATATATATATATATATATAGCTTGTATGTATTTTATATTATTTAATTTGTATTTATTTTATTAGCAATATAGCAATTAATTAGCAATTAAGTAGCAATATAATTTTTATACTTATTAATTTGTATTTATTTTATAATTTTTATATTTATTAATTTGTGTATTTATTTTATAATTTTTATATTTCATAATTTGTATTTATTTTATATTTAAATATTTGTATTTATTTTATTTTGTCAGGTTGCAAGGAAATATTAAAATTTGAGTTTTAAGTTTTTACATTTTTTTATTTTAGAGTATGTCATCGTATAACGTAGTTTATTATTTAAAATTATTATTTT